GGACTGGAATGACAATGTATTGTCCTGACACTGCATTTGAGTTTCTCTAAAGTCCAACTTCTTAGTTTAAATGTTCTGCTGCCACATCTAGGCTCTGAATAACCTGGCCCTGAACTCTGTCCTATGTCCAACGTCTATGCCTGCTATTCCTGCAAACATAGCTTAATTTTTAGCTATATCTAAATCACCTGCTCAACAGTTACCTCCTACTGCCCTTTTATGCCTCCATACCTTTGCTCATGTGTTGCTTCTACTCGGATCACCCTTATCCACCAGGTATGCAAGAAACCTCACCTTGCTTGAAATTTATCCCAAATGTCTTCTGCTCTTCGAAATCTTTACTAAACTCTTTTCTCATTCTTCCAAGCAGAGGTTGACTCTCTCACGCAGAACTTTACACAGACTTTTATTATAGTTTTTATTTTGTATGATTGTTAGTTTTCATGTCTGTCTCCTTTGGTAACTCCTTCAATGCCAAAACTAGGTCATATCAATTGTTTGGGTCATTTCCATTCCTCTCCTGTTGGCACCTTTAACCCCTCATAGCTTTGTCCTTATACAATGCCATCCTTCCAGTGTCTTGTTCTGTCCACTTCCCAACACCCACACCAGCCCTTTCCAGGGAATCTGTTCCCTTCCTATCCAGGTCTTGTGCTTTGCTAGTTACTGACCTCCATACACTTAGAGTGAGGGAGGAGTAAGACTAACTCCTAACCCCAGGACAGAATGCTGGCAGGTAGCCAGGAGCCTCCTTGGCGTGGTACACTTTCCTTTAGCGTCACTCAGTCTGACAGTTCTTCCGGTTCACTGACTATTGCACCAGGTGTCTGTGGTACTTAGCATCCAGGCTGGTATTATTAGAGCAGATCAGATACTTTCAGTGTGGGATGGACCCCCTCTGTTAGATGAAGCTATAAACAAGGGCAGGGATGCAAATAGAAGTGGAAACCGGAGATAAAAGGCCATTGTGTTAATTGGTTTGATTGCTGAGTATGTACAAAGCAATGAGTGACTGGAAGAGACAAAAGCCACACCAGGCCCCCACCTGCTGCATGTTGCTCATTGGACTAGCCTTGTCCCTCTCTCTCTCTCTCTCTCTCTTGCAGTCACTTGGAGGGTGGTCCATGAACCTTATGCAGCTTGAGTTTTCTCCAGTAATAGATGAAAGGGTGGAGCCTTATGGAGTGGAAAATACTAGGATATATGCCATGGTTACAGTTAAAGGAGTGTCTGGATGGGGGAGTAAACTGTACAGCCATTCTGCCATGGGTATATGGATAGCCAGTTTTCCTGGTAATAGATGGAGTAAAAGAATAATCAATTCTTACAGTATACTAAGCTTTTGCATTCATGGTCTAATTGAATCCTCCAAACAGTCCAATGAACCATGTATTATTATGATTTCACAGATGTGGAAAGTAAATCTTTGGTCAATTTATTAATTAGTCTAAAAGCAAATTAGTGACAGAGTCAACATTGAAATTCTGATTCATCTAATTCCAAAATCACCATGACCTAATACCCCCAGACCCATATCCAAAACACAGTTCATTTATTTATTCAAAAGATATTTATTGTGCTCCCACTGGAGGCAGGCACACACTGGGGATTTAATAATAAGGTAAAACAACAAAAACATGCGTGTGCAGATGAAGCTTACAGCCTAGTGGAAGAATACATATTAATCAAATCGTCACACAAATAAATGTAAAATTACATTTGTGAATAGTACTATGGGGGAAAAATCCATGGTGCCATAAGAATGTGTAATAAGAATCTAACCTAACAGAGTAGACACCTCTCTTCACCTGGCCAACATTCCCTCTTCACCTAGAAACTGCCCTTCAGTTTTCCTCTGGAGGACTACCCCTTCCCTATCCTCTGACTGTGTAGTTCAGGCGAGGCTGACCCCACCACTGACTTCACTGAAGGTCACATAACCCAGTACTGACTAACAAAAGCACAGGCATAATCTCATTTTATCGCGTGTCACTTTGCGGCGCTTCTAGATATTGCATTTTTTACAAATTGAAGGCTTGTGGCAACCTGGCATTGTCAAGCAATTGTTAGCATTTTTCAGCAATAAAGTATTTTTAAATTAAGGTATGTACAGTTTTTTAGACATAGTGCTATTGTACACTTAATAGACTACAGTATGGTGTAAATATAATTTTTATATGCAATAAGAAACCAAAAAATTCATGACTTGCTTTATTGCAATATTCACTTTATTGTGGAGGTGTGGAACTGAACCCATAATATCTTTGAGGTATGCCTGTACTGCACCGCCACGACCACAGTGATTGGTTCAAGAATGCTTCATGTGCCTCAGGCCAGATCAATGAGAGCTTTGGGACTTTTCCTGGAGCCATTGAGAATGAGATGCACTTCTTCAATTGACAAGCAGGGCTAAAACAAGACACTTGGGGATGCCGGTGGCCACAACATGAGGAGAGCAACCTGAGACATGAGGCCGCAACCTGAGGATGAAGCTAACAGAGGAGAGCAGAGCCAAGAAACTGACATTCCAAAGATATTAAACACGTGGACCCAGCCTCGTATCAACTACCAATAAACCAATAAACATTCTAGTGGTGTGAGCCAGCTCATTCCCCTCTTCCTGCTTAAGCCAGTATCATTTTTTTTTTTCTTTTAGAAGCAAAGGTCATGTAAACACCCCGACTTTTTTTTTTGGCTGCGTTGGGTCTTCGTTGCTGTGCACAGGCTTTCTCTAGTTGTGGCGAGCGAGGGCTACTCTTGCTTGTGTTGCTCCGGCTTCTCATTGCAGGGCATGGGCTGTAGGCGTGCGGGCTTCAGAAGTTGTGGCTCGCAGGCTGTAGAGCAGAGGCTCAGTTGTTGTGGCGCACGGGCTTAGTTGCTCCGTGGCATTTGGGATCTTCCTGGACCAGGGCTCGAACACACGTCCCCTGCATTGGCAGGCGGATTCTTAACCACTGTGCCACCAGGGAAGCCCTTAAGCCAGTTTCATTGAGTGATTGACACCTTCCTTTCCCTTTCCTCCTTTCTTTCCTCCTTCCTTCCTTTCTTTCTTTTTCTTTCTTTCTTTCTTTCTTTCTTTCTTTCTTTCTTTCTTTCTTT